AATTTATTGCAAAGTTGCAGAACTTTATTAAGAACAGGGGTCTCAAATTCCGGTTTGCATCTTTTTCAAATGGATTCATTTCCACCTTAGCATGTAGTCTGGCTTTACAGAGCTCCTATAATGAGCTAGTTATTTGAGTCAGGTGTGTTAAAGCAGGAACATCTTAAAATTGCAGGAACTAGGCCCTTGAGGACTTTAATTTAAGGCTGTAGACTAAGGAAGATCATTAGGTAGCAGCTTTACTTTCCTAATATAACGTTTTTAAACAAAACTGGAATAATTGGCTGAAAGAAGAGTTGGACCGTAGAAGACTTTGGAGAAAAGGAAATCTATTTTTTTCTTTCCAGCTCTTCATTAAATGGAGTTTAAGAATGCCATTTGTTTTTGTTGTACGGGGTTATGGGAAGGTGAGATGTTCTTTGATTTAAACAAAAGGTTTTCATGTAAATAATTTCCCACATCATTCCCGGGAACAACATCCGGCTCTTTGCCTTGTAGGAACAGCAGCTGATGGTTCTATAAAGAACAACTGTCTTAGCGCAGGGGTCGCTATGATCCTTCCATGTTTGAGGTTTTTTACTCTAGTTTGTCTTTGTTTTATTTACATGTGATTCATTCCTTGTATGATAGTTTCTCAGTTCTTTGTACATTTACTGTGTTCAGCTACTGTCAGGTTAATTAGTTCTCCCTCCCTCTGCGCCCTGCTTAACTTCTGTCGCAGCCACTCTGTATTCTCACCTGATTAATACATCGATGTCATCATCTTCTGTCTCTCAGTATACAAGATTCCCTCTCCTCAACATTCTCTGCAGCATTCCCTCTTAAGAAACCCATCTTGTTCATCTGTTCCTGTTTTTGTGCCTGGAGTTTTCCTGTTGCAGTTTTAATCTACTAAATTTCTCCATGTTCATCCAACGCACTCCTCCATAACCAGGCAACTTGACAAGACATCTGATGAGACCACCTTTGTTTGCTCTATCCCCTGTGGCTTGTAGAAAACTGAACTCAATATGCTTCTTTCTGAAAGAGTGAGAAATGGATGCAGATTTTACCTGAGCAATAAGATCTCTGCAGCTCCTCCTCCTTTTCCTTGAGCCTCTTTACAGCTTCTGTGATTAGCATCTTTTGAAGCTTTCTCTGCTTTACCAGACCTGGGATCAATTCTTTGCCTCTCTGGGTACCACGGCATCCTGTAGGATAACGTCATTCATAATAGAAAACTATGCAGTTATGCCTTTTTATTGCTCTGACATCATACTTCATTATGTTATAATAGCGCAATCTTTCCAATAAAGATGCGTTTGGCTCTTGGTTCAGAAGCATCCAAGTTAGACTCACTTCAGATCTGTCAGATGTTGTTTAATGTGACCATGCAATCAGCAAACTTTCTTTCCTCTTGATCAAGACGCTTTATTTTCCAAAATCAAAACAAACTTAGATTTTCTTACCGCAACATGACGTGACAGGCAGATCATATCGGCTCATTTCGTTCCTTTTTTGCCACTCAAAGAAAACAACAATAATAATCAAAAGCGGTCAAAAACTGTATGGCTGCGCTGACTGAATCCAAAAGCTCACCCGGCCCCAATAGCCGACTCCAATGTAATCCAGGTGCTGCAGTCACCTGTCCGTAATGAAGGGGCGGAGGCCAGAAACAGCATAAATTATGAATGGCAGCAAAACACAACTAAACAAATTCATAATTTCATAATTAAGTCAGTCAACTTATACTTCAAACCAAAATATTTCATGTTCATATAAATCATACCAAAACCAGACAAAAGTAGTAAACTAGAAATAAATATTCAATCATAAATCAAGCATTTGGCTCCAACAATGTTAGACTTAGATGTATTTGTCATTTTGTTTACACAAGAGTAAAACAAAAAGAAATTTCGTTAAGAACAGCTCTCTGGACAATTTCATTTTTTTTTTTTAAGCGTAATAGTAAAATAGTAAAAAAAATATATATAAAAACAGTAATATAAACATCTGACTGTAAATGTACAGTTCTAAGATTTTCTGTTTTTTTATATATATATAATGATAAAAGATAATAAATATAATAAATTACACTACAATTACTCATTTTACAATTCTTATTAATTTTCTGTAGCATAGAACCTCTTCTTGTCTCCCTAAAGCAGGGGAAGGATTTACTATTAGTCAAACTAGGCAGTTGCCTAGGGGCCCCAAGTTCCTGGGGGGCCGATAAAACTCTGTTTACATGTCTGGTTAATAAAACTATTCCTTATTTGTGCACATTAATTATGTTTCTGATAAAAATCCTTTGTTAAAATGCCATCAGAATGCTTATAATGTGTGTCTCAGCCTAGTGGTGTACAGGGTGGGCTAATGCCCAGGTTGTATAATGGGGCTGTTTTATGGGGTGTCTTTTCAATTCAAAGGGCCCCCTGTCTGTCTTTGCCTGAGCCCCAAACTTCCTAAATCAGCCCCTGACTGGAGTCATTATTTTATGTTCGTTTCTACTTAAAATGTCTGTGTGCTTTGCTTTTTTTTGTTTCTTTTGTCAAAAAAAGTTAAATATATATACATTATGAAAAAGTCTGTTAGATTTTCATACTATTTGGGTTGCGACTAATTTAAAGCACAAATTGGTCATGCTGGTCACTTTGATATAACTAGTGTTGCACCGATACCAGTGTGGGGCGGGGCCCCGATCCAGCACTAATGAAGGTATCGGCGAGTACCAACAAATAGAGCACCGATACCATTTTTGTATCAAATCAAGCTGCACAAGTATATTTACATGCAATAATATTATCCCATATGTCTTATTGCTCCATCGTTTTGGGCCCAGGCCACAAAGTCTGTTTTAAAACCTTTACTCTCACTTCACAAGCAAGCATTAAAAATATTCGATCCAAAACCGGTGAAGTGGCATCACTGCAAAATTATAAAAAAATACAACATGATGACATTTGAAAATTTTATAAATTTCTCATTTTTAAAAGCTTTTTTTAAATGCCTTAATGGTCTTGTCCCCGAAGTAGTCTGTAAATTTGCTTTAAAGAATGCAAATGAAGGAATCAGGACGAGAGCTGGAGCTAGTGGGAACTGCAGGATTAAAAGATGTCGGACATCAATGGGTCAGTCGGCCTTCTCAGTGAAAGCATCACATCTCTGGAACTCTTTGCCTCTGGAGCTTAAAGGAATAGTACACCCAAAACATGATTAGCCTTCATTTTCTACTCACCCCCATGCTGAACAACACTCTGGAGTACTTTTTTGATATCTCAAATGCATCTGGAGATCTGGGAGGCTTCTTGCTGTCTGCTGACATTCAAATAATGGAGGTCTATGGGATTTCCTAAAAGCGCGTTCACGAGTCTACGGAAACCGCGGCAGACCAAACCAGATGAAAGTGCGCATTCAGCGTCTGCTCTGCCGATAATGCAAGCGTAGAAGAAGAAATGTGCTGTTTACCTGTGCAAAGAAAGAAACAACGAAAGAAAAATGTCTGAGGACTTCAGTGTTGAGGAAGAGCATGAGTTCTTTGCCGAGCTGAATGCGCACTTTCATCTGGTTTGGTCTGCCGCGGTTTCCGTAGACTCGTGAACGCGCTTTTAGGAAATCCTATACACTACTGTTTATGCTCTAAAAACATTCTAAATGACTTCGTTTCGAGTAAATTATGGACGCTACCCACTCAGGACACTTGAAATACATTGGACGAGCAGTATGGAGGAATATTGACATGTTTTTTGTGGACTTTTATGGACCTTTCTGCCTCGGGCGCCATAGACCTCCATTATTTGAATGTCAGCAGACAGCAAGAAGCCTCCCAGATCTCCAGATGCATTTGAGATATCAAAAAAGTACTCCAGAGTGTTGTTCAGCATGGGGGTGAGTAGAAAATGAAGGCTAATCATGTTTTGGGTGTACTATTCCTTTAAGTCACAGACTGATGTTCGACTTTTCTTCACAAGATTGAAAAAATGGCTCAAAGACAATCAGGAGTGTGAGCACCAAACTGGCTTGTACTGTACATTTTTTTTTTTTTTACTTCTCTTGTTTTTATTTTATGCATCTGTGTGTCGTTACTAACCTCCTTCCCCTTTTAAAATGCTAACACCTTTTAAAAGCCTAACCAGGGACGAAGGCTGCAAATTAGCCCATGGCTACAAGCCTTATGTACTTGGACATCAGCCACCTGTTTGGTTACAATGTTTAATTGTACTGTCCCTGTCAAATAAACAAATAAATAAATACATTTTGAAAGCAAACAGTTTATTCAACTATTGTCACCCATTCCAGGTCGGCAATAAAAAGTTCTACTGGATTCACTTTGTTTTAGTCTTTTTCCTGCTTCACAAAGCCATGATGGTAATTATTTTACATCCTAGTAGTCTGCAGTTCTTCATATATACTAACACCTCAATTTCAAACAGATGGTATCGGCCGATTCTGCACAGTCAGATATCGGATATCGGGGCCAAAAAGTGGCATCGGTGCAACACTAATTATAACCTGCAACTGTCAAGATGGGTAAAATGGCATAAAATGATCTTGTTTAAAAGTCCAGAGCTAAATGAAGCTGCATTTGCACCTGGATCACTGTAATCCGCAAGATTAATGTGTTTAAAAAACTCTTTGCAAGCTGTTGGTGCTTAATGGCTCCATTGAGCAATGGCTCATTTGCTCTCAATTTTCCTGCAAATAATTATGGAACGCATTTCTTTAAAGTACCAAGAAAGACAGCGAGAATATGAGATGTATTGTCAATTTTATACACTCAAAAAAAATAAAGTAATTCAACAGCTTTTGGCATTAAATTATATTAAGCTAAGTTAATAGAAAACAAAAAAATATTGCGTTATTTTTTCTTTGTAACAACAACTTCTGCTATTTGAGCACTAAGAAGCAGGATTAATTCCAAGACAGTTCCTTCCTGGATGTGCAGGTGAATTTTCTTGATATCAAACATGCAGAGCTCAGTCTGTCTGCCTCATAGAAGCTGTTTTATTGCAGAGCAGGACGGACTGCAGCAGAACCTGAAACTCTTTAGGTGTTTAATCCCCTTCGTGACTGATGGTAGGAATCCAGCTGCGGACAGACAGCCCAGGGTGGATTACTGGCAGTTAATGACCGCTGACTTGTCTCGTCCGTGAACGCGCGCTCCCCCAGCCTCGGTCATTGCTCTCTGCGCTCTATGTGGCTGCATGGTCGCTCCCTGGGTTCCGATGCACGCAGCCTTTATCCGTCTGCAGAGCATGCATGTCTGCATCCTCCAGCCCAGAACTGAATCGACAGGAACGTTTTTTTTTAAACATCTTTTTAAATAATTCTCATTGTTGCGCGCAGCTGTTTTGGCCACAGCCAGGCAGGCACTGCCTCCAAATGGATTGCTCCGTCTGATCTCAGCAACACGGTGATATGTTGAACTGGAGGCTCCGAGTCAGCCATCAGTTCCCAGGCAGGACAAAGAAAACTATTCAATAAACATTTGTATGCTGCACAGCCCGGTGGCTCCAAACCAGGATCGTAGGGGGAGAGAAAAAAGTTGGAAGTTGAAGAAGGGATGGTTATGCATTGAGTTCCGCACAGAGCCGAGAACAGGTACGTCACGTTTCGAACTATATTCCTATGGAAACGATGCTTACGCACCGCTTGTTGTGCGCTCTCTGCTTCCACATGGGTGCAGCGGTTCCGTGACATTGAGGTGCCTTTCATGGGAAGAACAGCTGTGGTCCTCCTGCGGGTATCCACTGTGGCACAGCAGATGCAGAGGATTCCCTCAGCGCGTCTGCAGCTCAATATGTGTCAAAGTAGCGAAGCGAAAAAAAAAACGCAGTGGAGTTTTTGTTTGCATGATCTGCGCCAAGCAGAATATATTGCATGCAGGAGAGGTCATTCTGAAGCACAGCTTTCTGTGAAGGGTCAAGGTAGTGAACTGCAAGGAAGGTCCTGAATCCGATGTGTTCCTGCTGCACCGCAGCATCATCCGGTCATTCAGCTGCAATAAAACTCAGGATTTTATCTCAGTGGATGAATTCAAGATGTAGGTTTGAATTTGGACCTTTATAATTGACGCACTGGGCATTAGCCCATCCTGCTACTGTAAACAGGGGCAGATTAAGGAAATTTGGGGCCCTAGGCACATAGAACAGACCCATTCTACAGATAGAGAAATGGTAATAGAATAGACATCCATTATTTGTTCTAGGTTTTGTCCATTTTCTTGTTATGTTTCATTTGGATGAAATAATAGCTGCATGAATCATGACAGCAGACAAGATAGAGGAGAGCAGGAGGCGGGGTTACCAATCTACTAGCTCTGGAGAGCAGAGTTCGCTGCTTTTAGACGTTGTCTCCAAAGTCTCCAGCAGCAGAAAAAAGTCTCTAGATTTGGCGCTAGGAGCTTTTTAGAAATCAAAGTGCTAGAGGGGTCTGAAAAGTGGCTAAATATAGCGACTAAAGCGCTAAGTTGGCAACACTGCTCTTTGCATGGTTTGTTTTCAAATGGTTTGCTGCTGTCTGTTTGGACCTTTCTGAACATGTGCAGCAAATGGACTGATCCAATATGGTGGACACTGAAGGGGGGGGGGGGGGTATTTTAACAAAAGGATTTTTATCAAAAATATAATTAATGTGCACAAATAAGGAATAATTGTATTAACCATACATGGAAACAGAGTATTATGGGGCCCCCTGGATTTGGGGCCCCTAGGCACCTGCCTAGTTTTGCCTAATGGAAAATCCTCCCTGACTTTAAATAAAACCCTCTGTATTTATTCATGTTTTGCCAAACGTGCCTTTTCATGCAAATTGCATGCAGCAAACAAGATAGACATTTTCACATTATATTTATAAAATTTAATCTTCAGCAATTCTCATGATGTCATTTTTAAGAGTACTAATTTGTTTACTGTAAAATGTTTGTAAATTAAACAAGAAAACGTTGAAAAGTCTGTACTGAGCTTACAGGTGGTAAAAGTGTCCATATGAAGCTAAAAATAATTAGAAAAATATCCCGAGAAAAGCAGAAGTAGGGCTATGCTGACCATCCTCTCATGACGTTTTAGTCATTTCCTCTTGGACACTTATTTTCATTTTTCTTGTAGTCAAAAACTAATTAAATGTACGTTATAAAGATAATGTAAAATAAATGTAAAACAGAAAATGATAAATAAAAAAGAATAAATGGTTCCACTGCTGTTGTTTCTAGCAAGAAGAAAAGACTGGAAATTAAAGAAGGGTGGTTTGCATCCTAATCCATGTCTGTTATTTTTCCTGACCTTTCACTGTGCTATCTGAACATTATTAGTACTTTAAAAAGATATATTTTTCATATAATTATCTTTTTTAATATTTAGTTTTCTTTTTTCCTCAATTATTTTTGTTCCTGTAAACCACTGCAGTTGACATTTCTTTTTCTTTCTTTTCCTAAAGTCCAGCACTTTGAATTTGTGCCTTTCCTTGTTTTTCTCTCCCAGTTTTCTAAAAACTCACACATCGATAAATAAAACATTTTTCCATAGACCACCTGTCCAGGAATTGAATAAAGTCAAAACATGAGATAGCAATACTTCATGTTTCTCACCAACTCTGACTTCAGAATACAGCATGGCTGTTTTTATATGTGAAACTATTTTAAATAAACTTAAAACCATATTTGCAGCTGCTTTATAGGTACTATATTCATTAATTAAACAAAAGCAAACATGGAGACATGTACAGTATGAAATTGGAAATGTCAGAGTTCTCGTGGTTATTTTTAATTTCTCTCTTTACCTTGTAATAACTTTATATCTGATATATCTGAATTAAATCTACCATCTACAGTATTTATATCATTAAAAAAATGAACAAAACCCTGAAATATAATGAATATACAACTGCTCTTCTGTTTCTAGGCAGATGAATGAACTCTTATACTTTAAGCTTTGTTATTTCTATATATATATATATATATATATATATATATATATATATATATATATATATCTATATCCCCACCATCAATGTGAAAACGGCTTCTGCTTTGCTTCCCGTTTCCTTTCGTCTCAGTAAAACTATTTCTCCCCTCTTTGCTTAATATCAGATACTGTAATTAGCTGCTCTTTTTTTCCTTGTACTCACTGAGGGATGCTGTAGAGTCGTTATGTATAGTTAAATCACAGGTGAAGGCTGTGCAGATGCGTCTGTTTTGCTCCCCTTCTGATTTATTTCCTCCAGTGCATGATCTACATTTTTTCCGTGGCGACACTGAGCAGCAGAAAGCCACAGCCCAGCTGGCGAAGCCCCTCAAGCTGCAGCAGAAAATAACACTGCGGGACGCCGTTAACTCTGGGATGAATATTCATGGAGCATGTGTGTATGTTTCTTTCTTTTACTTCAGGATTTATTGCTACATGTTTGTATAAAGTTTCAGAATACAAGAGAAGGAAGAAAAAACCCTAACTCTCCTAATGTCAGAAGCTGAGGCCCAGACACCAGCTGTAGGAGCCTGGCGGCCATCGCACCTTGTGACACGAAAACTCTAACAGACACACAGATGCCAGGACGATCTTGATGAGAAGCCCTGCTGAAATTCACACTTCAATCTTGCTGGAACACTCTCTCTCTCTCTCTTTTTCCATCTAAGGCCTCTTTATCTCTTCCTCCACCTTGAGCTCTCTTCAAGCCACCCAGTGCTTGTGTGATCCCTTACCCTATTTGATTGGCCCACCCTTCTTGCGCACCACCATGTTAAACTATATCAATCAAAACAGAAGCAAAAAAACTCTCGGATATGGACGCCATCATCGCTGACTGAATTATGAACACATTCAGAAAGCAGTTTGCTCTCAAGCCGCACGTCTGCCCAAACATGGCTGCTTGTTTTCTTTTTTTCTTCTCTAATCTGCAAGGTGTGTTAATCACTATAGACGGTGTGCTATGTGTGCATATGCAGTCTTAAGTGCTAATAGGAGCTCACACTAGAGAGCAGCAGGCCGTGTCAACCGCAATCTCCAGACAAGCCCTCAGGGTGTCCTATTTGGCATGAGCACCCGGAAGAAGACACACTCACACATATATGCACTAATGGGTCTGCTATGTTTAGACTTGACTTAAAGACCCGAGAGCTAAGGGTTCCCTGAGACCATGTCTGAGCTGGACATTCACAGCTGATAAATTGGATTAACTGAAAGGCTGTAGATCTGGATGCCTTTAGAGGATGTTTGTTTTAAAGATTCACCAACCAGGCTTTTTTTTTTTTTTTTTATAGCCTAGATTCTCTATTTTCATGAGTTCTGAACCAGAAACTGACCAATTCCAATTTTTCATTTATTTACTTATTTAAACTCCACCACATAAAGAGGACTTGTGCTACACGTCTTTAATATGGATAGTTTTGAATATATATATAAAAAAAAACAAGCAATAAAATACAAGATTTTCCTCATTTAAAGCATACCCTGGTACAGGGGCGGATTTAGGAAATTTAGGGCCCTAGGCAAAGACTGGCATGGAGCAGACAAAACATAAAACAGCCCCATTCTACAGATAGAGAAATGTTAATAGAATAGACATCCATTATCTGTTCTAGGTTGTATCCCTCTCTTCTTGTCCCTTTTCTTCTTGTTTTCCTCTCTATGTTTTGTACTCAGCTGACTTTTCATGCTGTCTCTAAAGGAATGAAAGATTTTTTCCAAGCACTAAGCTCACTTAGCTGATTGCTCCTTCCTGTGTTTCCAAAAAGGCCAAAGTAAATAACCCAGTCCTTCTTTTCACTGTAGACAAGCCATGATCTGCTTATCTGTTCTCCATTTTTCATTTGGATGAAATAATAGCTGCATGAATCATGACAGCAGACAAGATAGAGGAGAGCAGGAGGCGGGGTTACCAATCTACACGCTCTGGAGAGCAGAGTTCGCTGCTTTTCACTTAATATTATAAGCGCTTTGATGGCATTTTAGCAAAGGATTTTTATCAAAAAGAAACTGCCTAGTTTTGCCTAATAGTAAATCCGCCGCTGCCTTGGTGTGTAAAAACTAGGGATGCACGATATTGGGATTTTGGCCGATATCCTATATGCCGAAATTTTAAAACTCATGTAGCCGATAACCGATATCGATACCGATGTTAAAGCTGGACAAAAATAAGTAGTCATTGAAAATAGCAGTTTTGTTATCCATTTCTGACACGTTGAAAAATATTAAACTCAAATATATTTTCATATGCTGATATCAAATTGATTTTTAAAAACGCGGTATCGATCTATTTTACTTTCAGAATCTCGTGAAATTTCATCGTTCTGTTACAAACTCTCGTGATATTTTGCAAATTCTTGTGAGATTTTGTTAGTAAAATAGATCGATGCCGCGTCAATATATCAAGATATAAAAATATGGCAACATTTCGTGAATTTTCGGGGGATTTCGTAGCATAACGATGACATATAGCAATATTTCATTAGTAAAAGAGATTGATATGGTGTTTTTAAATGGCAATATATCAGCATATGAAGATATTGGGATATTTTAATGTATCAATATTTTTTCCCTCGTCTTTAGAAGCTTTTAAGTCTGTAAAAAAGAAGTTTTTGAGGAAGAAGAAGAAGTAGTATTTTATTT